AAAGTCTTTTGTTGTTTGCCCTCTCATATTTCTTTACACCAAAATACATAAATAAATTAAAAATTTAAAGTTATTAATTATTTTCTGGAAGCATAAATCTCAATTTTTTTGGATTGTGTTAGCATTATAATTATTAATAATACAGAACTGATAAAATTATGTAGATATACATTTTTATAGATAATGTTTAGACATAAACAATAACATTTTATTGGAAAAATAGCTTTTATTACTGCTGTAAAAAAGAAAAGAAAAACCAAGATGATTTAGTTGGGAGCATTTGTGTAAGTTTTATTACAATGTTGCTGCAAAGGGAAAAGCTTAAAGCAAGCCAAATTGGAAATTCACTTGGTGGAAACACTTCGTAGGAAACTAGAATGTTCAGTATCATCCTTGTTACACCAAATCCAACAAGGAAAAGGTTAAATAAAGATCAATAACTCCACTGCCAGGCATCTGGGGCAAGGTCTGACTAATTCTGAAAAACCAATCTTTTTTTTTCTTTTGTTTCTACCTCTTGGAATTAGAGGAAATCAGACACATATCTTAATCCCTTTAAAGTTCTTCAGATAACCACCTAAGCATTTTATCAGGAATGCAGACTCCTTCCTGGGAAGCTGCCAAGGACATCATGCAGACTTGGAGTAAGACAATTTTCTATTACTGTGAATCAGGGTTTCTTGACTGATGTTTATTGGCATTTTGGGCTGGGCAATCCTATGTGGTCCTGTGCACTGGAGGACGTTTTGCAGCGTCTCTGGCCTGTACCCACTTGATACTAGTTGTGAAACATCAAACTCTCACAACAATCAAACATGTCTTCGGACATGGACAAATGTCTCCTACAGGGCAAAATTGCCTCCGATTGAAATTCACTTTTCTAGAATGAGGCAAGGTTCAGCATCAATTCTGTTTCTATTTTTACTTTTTCTAAATGAAAATGCTGAGAAACATATAAGTGGATGAGAACAGCAGCTTCACTCACTCCCTTGAACTCCTGAAATATATATACCAAAAAATCAAAAGGATTATCATCCAGTCATTAAAGGCAGCATTCCTGGTCTCCCCACTGTGGCAAGTTGTCCCATTGTTTGGTGCCCCTAGAGGAGTTTACAACCTGGGCCACACACTGTGAAAAGAATCTGAAAGAGTGAAAGGAAAGGAGTGGGAGGTGGGAAGAGGACTCCCCTCCCCCCACCATCACCAATAGCCTTTTCTCAGGTGGAGGACACAGGGCCATTCAGGATCCGGGAAAGGACTTCTCTAAATTCTAATCTAATTGGCCTGTGGGTTGGGGTGGGGTTGGGAACTGGTATTTCACACAAAAGCTATCTGGGCAATTCTAATGTGTAGCAGGATGACAGCCACAGCCTTAAACCTATTAGGTTACATGCCTTGGGCCACGCGTGGTGGCTTACACCTGTAATCCTAGCACTTTGGGGCCAGGGGAAGATGATTGCTTGAGGCTGGGAGTTCGAGACCAGCTGAGCATGAGCAAGACTCCATCTCTACAAAAGTAAAAATTTAGTTTAGTGTGGTGGCATGCACCTGTAGTCCCAGCTACTTGGAAGTCTGAGGCAGGAGGATCCCTTGAGCCCAGGAGTTTGAGGTTGCTGTGAGTTATTGATGTAGTCCAGATCAGTTATTGATCTAGTCTAGATGACAGAATGAGACACTATCTCAAAAAACAAAACACAAACAAACAAACAGAAATTACATGCCTTATAAAAATGATACCCAATTGGCCCTCAGTTTTTGTGCGTTATATATCCTCAGATTAAACCAAATGTGGATGGAAAATATTTTTAAAATAAATAATAATAATACAACAGTAAAAAATATAAATTTGAAAAAATGAAGTATAACGACTATTTGCATAGCATTTACTTTGGAAATTAGGTATTATAAGTAATACAGAGATGATTTAAAGTATAGAGGAGGATGTACATAGGTTATATGCAAATATTATTCCATTTTGTATGAGGGACTTAAGCATATGGGGATTCTGGTATCCAATCCTCCTTGGATTCTGAGGGATAACTATACTAAAATAATATATGAAAATACTTGGGGTAGAGATGGCAGTTTTGCTAACTCAGATTGAGCTGCCACAATCACCAGAGATTCTTCTGTGGATGATCAGGGACCACATCATTTTACACGTGCCACTAACCAACCATATGTTCAGAAACTAGTGAATTATAAAATATACATCTTATTAAACCAGAGGCGAGTAACTGGCAATTCGCAGATGAGATGAATACCCAGATGTGATTTATTTGGCTTCATTGTGTATATATATATATATATATTCTAGTAGATTTAGGGGGTACAAATGTTTTTTGTTACATGGGATTGTATACCGGTGAAGTCTAGGCTTTTAGCATATCTGTCACCTGAATAGTGTACATTGTACCTGATAGGTACTTTTGCATCTCACTCCCCCCTCTCTCCCACCCTCTGTTTTAAAAATACTTTTTGGCATTTTAAAATTGGGAGATAACATAAAATTTTAAATTTTCAGTGTTGCTTGGAAAGTGGATCAGCTACACCAGCATTGCCACTAGGCAGAAATCAAACAAAAATGTGTAGCAACTAATATTTTTGAATGGCCCCTGAGCTCTTCCATTCTCTGAGGGCTTCCTCCACTTTTATCTGACCTACTCCTTGCAGATGTGTTCGCTGCTTGGCTCTTACAGGCTTTTGAGTTTTAAAGATCCTCTTCTAAACTCTTCACTAACTTACATGTATGAAAGTTGTCAGAATCAAAATGGAGCCATTAATGTTAAATAACAAAACAAAACAAAACAAACTCTGACAAATAGAGCCGAGAAAGGCCATGAAGAAGGGGTTCTCAGGCTCCTATGTCTGATAACAAAAACTATTACAAAAGACCCTGCAAAAACAACCTTGCCAAAGGACATTACAACCTTACACAAAAAATACTTCTTTAAGGACATCTGCCCAGCAGCTGCCAGTCCAACCTCTGACCAGAGCTACCCTTGTTATTGATCTTTATAGACAAGATAATTATTTCAAAATAATTATGTCATCTTCCTTGTTTTTTCCTTTAAAATCTTTGTCTTCCTTTACCTCCATGAATATGCACATAGTTGACTATGGCATGCATATGCAAGGCTCTTTCCCAAATAAACATCATTTTCTTTCAGAGAGCCTCTCCCTGTTATTTAGGTTGAGACAAGAATGTTAGATTTAGGAGGGATTCTAGTACTGGACTTATAATAAGAATGATGGAATTTAAAAACATAAATATAAAATAAAAGAAGGTTAGGAATCCCTGCCCACATGACATTAAATTTTTGTTGTTGTTGTTTGTTTTTTTTTGAGACAGAGTCTCACTCTGTTGCTTAGGCTAGAGTGCCATGGCATCAGCCTAGCTCACAGCAACCTCAAACTCCTGGGCTCAAGCAATCCTCCTGCCTCAGCCTCCAGAGTAGCTGGGACTACAGGCATGTGCCACCATGCCTGGCTAAGTTTTTCTATATATATTTTTAGTTGTCCAGCTAATTTCTTTCTATTTTTAGTGGAGACGGGGTCTCGTTCTTGCTGGTCTCGAACTCCTGACCTCAAGCGATGTACCAGCCTCTGCCTCCCAGAGTGCTAGGGTTACAGGCACAAACCACCATGCCTGGCCATAATTTTGAATTAGGAATATGAGTGTGCTGTTTCTTTCTAGCTCTGTCCACTGAAAATAATAAAAACTGAGTATAACTTGTGCCAGGGTCTTTGGATTTTAAATTTTTTTAAATTGACAAATGACAAATTGTATATTTTTATGATGTGCAACATGATATTTTACATATGTATTTGTATCTGGGATCACTTTTACAAAAGAAATATATATATATATTGTGGAATGATTAAATCAAGCTAACTAACATATCAGTCACCTCATGTACTTGTCATTTTTGTGATGATAATATTTAAAATCTAATCTTCACCAATATTCAAGTATACCATACATTATTAATTATAATCACCATGCTGTATATTAGGTCTCCAGACCCTAAGGTACAGCCTTCTTCCTGTCTAACTGAAACTTTATATGCTTTAACCTAATTCTCTCCCTTTCCCAACCCCTAGTCACCACCATTCTACTCTCTGCTTTAGAAAGTAGCAGGAGACCCTGAGTGTTTGGGAGCTTTGTGGTCAGACAGCTTAGGGCTGCAGTCACTGAAGGACTTTGTACTGTGTAAACCTTGTCACTTCATTTCATCCTGCTTTCTTGCAGGGAATGCCCCTGGTTACTTGCAAGGCCTTCAGACAGTGTTTCCCCAGGCCCCAGGCAAGGATTAAAGACCCTGTGCTTTTTTTTTTCTGTTTCCAGAGGTAAAGTCTTGCTTGCACTGTTGGCCGGCTGGAGCGCAGCTCACTGCGGTAGCCTCTAACTCCCCGGCTCAAGCGATCTTGCTTTAGCCTCCCTAGTACAGGTGCACACCACCACACCGGCTAACTTTATTTTTTGTAGAGACCGGGGCCTTGCTATGTTGCTTGCTCAGGCTGGTCTTGAACTCCTGGCCTTGCTATGTTGCTTGCTCAGGCTGGTCTTGAACTACTGGCCTCAAGTGATCCTTCCGCCTCAGCCTTCCGGAAGTGCAGGATTACAAGTGTGAGTCAACATCCAGGTCATGACAGGCATTAAAACAATTATTTTTTTTTCTAGAACTAACAGTAGAAGGGAGAAAGGCATTTCTTTTCTTTTGTTCTTTTTCTTTTCTTAATTTTAATTTTTTTGACAAGTCAAATGCTGTAGTGAGAAGGGGTGAAGAGTTGAACAAGTATTTCAATCCGTAATTGACTGAACAATCAAGTGAGATAACTCACTACCTTCGGACCAGCTAGACATTTTTAAAGTTACATCAGGATATAGCATTTTAGAACATTTTAATTTGCAAACTGGATTTTTGTTTTAATTTTTGCCATGCTTGCACCGGAATGAGTGGAAATACCGATAGTTCTTGCCTGTCTGGAAGCTGTCTCCTTCCCCAGGATCTACACTGCAAGGCAGTAAGGGCAGGGAAGGGAAGGCCCGAGATTCCATCAGGAGGCTTCTAGGGAGGGGCTAGAGACTAAAGACAGAGGTGGGGGGAGGGGAGCGAGTGGGAGGAACAAGGATGTGATCTGGGCCCTGGCGAGGGATTAGCAGGGAGCGGGCTGCTGCCTAGAGACAGCTGTGGAAAGGTCCACAGTGAGGACCCTGCGTGGGCACCCCGAAATCCCATGGGAGCTGAGTCCTCAAGCGCCAGCCCCTGGTGCTTTCTGGACAAGGGCAGGTTTCAGTTCTCCGTGGCTGGAGTGGTCTGCGAGCACGCCCCGCACCTGGGGAGGCGTCTGCCTTTCAACCCCCTCCCTACTGCCTGAGCTCCGTGGGCACAGCTCTGTGCACCGCCCGCACGCCCACCTGAGCTCCGTGGGCACAGCTCCGTGCACCGCCCGCACGCCCCACCTGAGCTCCGTGGGCACAGCTCTGTGCACCGCCCGCACGCCCACCTGAGCTCCGTGGGCACAGCTCTGCGCACCGCCCGCACGCCCCACCTGAGCTCCGTGGGCACAGCTCTGCGCACCGCCCGCACGCCCCACCTGAGCTCCGTGGGCACAGCTCTGCGCACCGCCCGCACGCCCACCTGAGCTCCGTGGGCACAGCTCTGCGCACCGCCCGCACGCCCACCTGAGCTCCGTGGGCACAGCTCTGCGCACCGCCCGCACGCCCACCCCTGCTGACCGCTGATAGCTCGGGCCCAGGGAGCCTCAGGGAAGCTGGTGGGGCCTGAAGCACAGGGCGGGAAGGGAGGACGCCGCCGCCAGCTCAACCCACCTGGAAGGCAGCTCCTGGCCCCGGGCCCTAGAGCCAGGCCCTCATCCTTTCCTTTGAATAGCAGTTGGATGAAAGGTTTTGGCAATGACTGGGGACATCAGCCGGAAATCCAGTCAGGACAACCCGGCTCAGACACGTGATTGGAAAAAGGCTGGGCGGTAACGGGCTTAAAAGGAGCGGGACCTTCTGCTCCAGCCTGGAAGGGCTTCGGGGAGCAGGCCGCCCGCGCGGAGCGGCGCCCCTGCGGGTGGGGACCGTTTCTGGGCGACGAGGCCGGCCCTCCTGGTGGCGCAGTGGGAAGTCGTCTGGAACCGGTGAGCTAAGAAACTCGGTGTCTTGCGTCAGGCCTCCAGAAGGGGGTCGGCCGCCTTTCCTGCAGGAGCCAGCTGGCAGCCATCTTAGGCATGTGGGGCCAGGCGGGCTCGGCTGCGACTACGGAAGCCCCTTATCCACGTTTTTGTTTCTCGTGGTTTCAGTGACCCGCGGTCCGAAAGTGTTACGTCGAAAATTCCAGAAGCGAGCGTCCGTTCTAGGTACTGCTCGGTTTCTGAGTAGCGTGGTGAGATCTTGCTGCAGTCACGGCTCCTCCCGGCCTGGGACGTGGGGGTCCTTCCCCTGGTCTCGACTCCACGCCGTGTGGCCCCGGCCCTTGAGTCACTGAGGGGCCACCTCAGTCATTAGATCAGATGGAGGGTGGCAGTGCCACAGTGCTTGTGTGCAAGAGCTTCTGTTGCTTAATAATGGCTCCAAAGCACAAGAGTAGTGATGTTGGCAATTTGGATACGCCAAAGATAAGCCGGAAAGTGCTTCCTTTAATTGAAAAGGTGAAAGTTTTCCGCTTAAGGAAAGAAAAAAAAAATCATATGCTGAGGTTGCTAAGACCTACAGCACATTAAGATGTTTTGAGAGAGAGACTACATTAACATACCTTTCATTCCAGTATATTGTTATAATTGTTTTATTTTGTTATTACTTATTGTTAATCTCTTATTGTACCTAATTTAGAAATTAAACTATCATTGGTATGTGTATATATAGGAAAAAACATAGTATATGGAGAATTCTACACTGTCTGTAGTTTCAGGCATCCACTGGGGGTCTTGGAACATATCCCCCAAGAATGAGGGGGAACTACTCGACTATCTTTCTTTTTTTGAGGCAGGGTCTAGCTCTGTTGCTCAGGGTAGAGTGCAGTGGCTTCATAGTAGCTCATTACAACCTTGAAAGCTCGAGTGATCTACCTGCTTCAGCCTCCCCAGTAGCTGGTGCTATAGGTGCACATCACCACAGTCAGCTACTTTTCCCCCCCTATTTTTAGTTGCTATTCTAATTTATTTTTATTTTTAGTAGGGGGTCTCGCTCTTATTCAGGCTGATCTCAAACTTCTGACCTCCAGCAATTCTCCTGCCTCAGCCTTCCAGAGTGGTAGGATTATAGGTGTGAGCCACCACACCCAGCCAAATTTTTGTAATTTTTGTAGAGAGAGGAGGGGGTAGGGTGGGATCTCTGCTGTATTGCTCAGGCTAGTTTCAAGGTCCTGACCTATAGCAATCCTCTAGCCTTGGCCTCCCAGAGTGCTAGGATTAGAGGCCTGAGCCACCACGCCCGCTTTGACTCTATTATTACAAAAGTAGCCTTGGGCAACTGCACTAAACAGATGATCATGGCTGTGTTCTAACAATACTTTTACTGTGCGCTAGGAGCGGTGGCTCACACCTGTAATCAGCACTCTGGGAGGCCGAGGGGAGGGGGGGGGGTTGCTCGAGGTCAGGAGTTTGAAACCAGCCTGAGCAAGAGCAAGACCCCCGCCTCTACTATAAATAGAAAGAAATTAATTGGCCAACTAATATATATAGAAAAAATGAGCCGGGCATGGTGGCGCATGCCTGTAGTCCTAGCTACTTGGGAGGCTGAGGCAGCAGGATTGTTTGAGCCCAGGAGTTTGAGGTTGCTGTGAGCTAGGCTGATGCCACAGCACTCACTCTAGCCTGGGCAACAAAGGGAGACTCTGTCTCAAAAAAACAAAACAAAAAAAACAACAAAAAAACTTTACTGTGAATACTGAAATTTTGAATTTTACATAATCTTCACGTGTCACAAAATATTTCTTTGGGTTTTTCATTCTCCCAAATTATAAAACATAAAAGTTAAAAAAACTTAAAAATGAAAGAAAAAGAAAAAAATATCCTTAAAATGTAAAAAAAATTCTTAGCGGCTGGCTGTACAAAAAAACAGGTGGAGGACCAATTTGCCAATCTGTGTCTTAAACCATTTTTTACCAAAAGGCAGCCAGCATCCTATTAGTGAACTGCAAAATCCTTTTAGTGGGCTGCAATCAGCTTACAAAAAAAATGTTTTTCACTGATCTTAAGATGCTTTCAATTGTAAGATATGTTATTTCTTTTTCTTTCTCTCTCTCTCTTTTTTTTGCATCAGATGGGTAAAGTGCTGACGAGGTAACAAGGTTTGAGGGAGGCTCATCTCACACATGAGTGTGAAAACCCAATCATGCTTATGAACGCCAAAAGAATCCGAGAGACATTATTTTTGATACTATTATAAAAATATATGCTATAAAACAAATTATGAAATTTATTTCATATTGATGAGACACTATGAGATGCAATCTGATTACAGAGATGTTAAAATGGAAATATAAAGTGTACACCTTAGAATCAATGAAATGTGCTAATGTGCATAGAAGGTATTAGAGCCTATCCCTTGTGGTGAGGTGAATGTATTAGAGTATGTGAGAAAATTTTTGTTTCAGTTTATACACATATAGTTTACCTTGTCCCTTGCATGATAGTATTAAATTGTTTGGCTTTGGATTTCATTAAATGCTTGGAGAACCTGGAATTAATGGGTTAGAGTCTGTTGTATAACCAAACAATCATATTTATAACAGTTGCTGTTTAGTTATTTAACAAAGAGCTAGCATGTAGGGTAGGAAAGACACTGCTCTGGAGCTGAGGATACAGCAGTAAAAAGAACACAAGTCCCTGACCTCATGGAGCTCATAGTCTACTGGGCAGAAATAGAAAAGAAGCAAGCCATTGTATGTATTTCATCATAGGCAGTGATAGATAGGAGCTGAAAAACAGCACTGGGGCCAGGCTCGGTGGCTCAAGCCTGTAGTCCCAGCTACGTGGGAGGCTGAGGCGGGAGGATCACTGGAGCCTGGGAGTTTGAGGCTACAGTGAGCTATGGTCATGCCACTGCACTCCAGCCTGGGCAACAGAGTGAGACCCTGTCTCAAAAACAAACAAATAAAAAAGTAAACATTTAAAACAAATGTTATCTCAGTGTTTAAGGGAGGATTAAATAAAGTCTTTTGAAATAAATACTGACTGTTATCACGTGGTTGCACTTAGGTGGCAATTTCTAAAAAGACAGCTTTGGAGGTTGAAGGTACCACTGGCTTCAAGCAAAAAGTAATTTGAAAATGGCAGATCTCTTCTCGTGTGAGGAAGAACAAGGACCACAACCGCTGAAGAAGAACGTAGAATGTAAACAGAGGGACAAGGCTGAGGAAGATGATGAGCTGATCTTTGTTGGGGTGGAGCATGTAAATAAAGACCCTGAAATTCTCTTTGTCAGGATGATTTCAAATTCAACACCCATCATTTCAAACATTTTGAACAGAGTCACCCCGGGCTCAAAAAGAAAGAGAAGCCACCTCTGGCAAGATCCTGCTCCAGGGTTGCAGCCCGCTCATCACACGACCCCTACAGCACAAGCCACGGCGCCAATATCCCAGTCGGAATGGACATCAACAGGTGGTCCTGTTACTGTTGAGTCTTCATCTAGCCCTGGCTGTGAAATGAGCTCACCCCAAGTTCTTCCTGAGAATTCCTCGGCTTTGCTCTCCCCAAGGACTCGGTGTCTAGATGGAGCTGTGCTCTCTGTAGGAGGCAGAGATGCGAGGCCTTGTGGTTCCAAACAACTTTCCACTTGGGATATAAACAGCAGGAATCCCCAAAGGGCTAAACGCAGGGATGGAATCCCAGGGGGACATTCTTTAGCTGTGGTCCCGTCAGGTCTCCCTCCCATAATGACAGGTCCACCCTCACAGGGTGCCTGCAACACGTCCAGCTGTGTTACAAATGGAGCATCATTTCCTCGGGCTGATGGTAGTGAAAAGTCACATTTCAATCTTAGGGATGGAGCAAATGGTCCTGAAACACTGGTAATAACAGACTTTTCAACTTTAGCAACTCAAAACCAGACCTTTGACCCCGAGAAAGGAAATCTGATCATGTTACTTTGTGACTTTTACTATGGACAGCATGAAGGAGATGGGACGCCAGAGCAGAAGACTCACACAACCTTTAAATGCCACAGCTGCTTGAAAGTTCTAAACAATGTTAAGTTTATGAATCACATGAGGCATCATTTGGAACTTGAGAAGCAGAGGAGCGACAGCTGGGAAAACCACACCACCTGCCAGCACTGCCACCGGCAGTTTCCCACTCCCTTCCAGATGCAGTGTCATATTGACAGTGCGCACACTGCCCAGGAGCCCGCAGCTGTCTGTAAAATCTGCGAGTTGTCATTTGAAACAGATCAGGTCCTCCTACAACACATGAAGGACAATCATAAGCCTGGCGAAATGCCCTACGTGTGCCAGATTTGCAATTACAGATCGTCAGTCTTTGCTGATGTGGAAACGCATTTTAGAACGTGCCACGAAAACACCAAAACTTTGCTTTGTTTGTTTTGTCTCAAGATTTTTAAAACTGCAACACAATACATAAATCACTGTTGGAGGCACTGGAACAAAAGAGTCTTTCGATGTTCCAAGTGCCGGCTGCAGTTTTTGACTTTGAAGGAGGAAATCGAGCACAGATCCAAGAATCATCAAACATTTAAAAAGCCAGAGCAAATGCAAGGGTTGCCTCCTGAAACAAACGTTATTATTAAAACATCGGTTCAATCAGGATCAAGAGATGTGGCTTCCATTACTGTGAGCAACACTGACCTTGGCCTGTCACCTGTAAAAACTATAAGGATGGCTGTGAACACTAGAGATTGCAGACTCTCTTGCAACAAGAGTTCTGGCTAAAAATATTTTCTGTCCACCTCCTGGAATTCTGAAAGGCAGAAGTGAGGCTAGGCCATTTGTACATCTGTGGCTGCAGGTGCTAAAAAGCAACGTCATCAACTGTCAGGTTTTATTTACAGTGACATCTCATCAGTGCCCTACTCTCAACAAGTAGCTCAGACATCTGCTTCATGCTCCTTCCAGTCAAAGTCCTCCCCATAAAGTAATCAATATTCTGACCTCTACCATCAGAGGTTAGTGTTTCCTGTTTTTGAACTTTAAATAAATGGAGTCACACAATAGATTCTTGCCTTTGGCTTGTTTCAAATCAGGGATATGCAAGATGCATTCTTGCTGTGCGTAGCAGTAGCACATTTTTTTTTTGTTTGTTTGTTTGTTTTTCATTGCTGAGTAGAATTCTATTGAGTGAATATAGCATAGTTTTATATATCTGTTTGACTGTTGGTGGACTTTGAGGCAAATTCTTTGCCTATTTTGGATAAAGCTGCTATGTGCTTATCCATGTCTTTCAGTAGACATGTAGTCATTTCTCCTGGGTATATGTAGCTATGAGAAGTGCTGGAACTGCAAGTGTTCAGCTTTTTAGTGGAGATACTACCAAATGCTTTTTCAAAGTGATTGAAACAATTTTTATTCCCACCATCAATACTGGGAAGGCCACCCTGCTGATCCAACCCTTGGTAGTGTGACAATCCTTTTCTTTTTCTTTCTTTCTTTTTTTTTTTTTTTTTGAGACAGAGTCTCACTCTGTTGCCCTGGCTAGAGTGCCTTGGCATCAGCCTAGTTCACAGCAACCTCAAACTCCTGGGCTCAAGTGATCCTCCTGCCTCAGCCTCCCGTGTAGCTGGGACTACAGGCATGTGCCACCGTGCCCAGCTAAGTTTTTCTATATATTTTTCGTTGTCCAGCTAATTTGTTTCTATTTTTAGTAGACATGGGGTCTTGTTCTTGCTCAGGCTGGTCTTGAACTCCTGAGCTCAAATGATCCTCCTGCCTCGGCCTCCCAGAGTGCTAGGATTATGGGCGTGAACCACTGAGCACAGCATGTGACAATCCTTTTCGTTAGTCTAGTGGTATAACATTAAAGTTGTAGTGCTATAACATTGTGGTTTTAACTTGCATTTCCCTGATGGGTAATACAATCTTCAGAATATTTTCATGTGTTGTGGCATTATCAGCAGTACGTTGGGCAAAAAAAAAATACAGAAAAATAATTAAAAATTTGAAAAGATTAAAATATATAAGAATTAAAATATATAAGAAGATAAAATATATAAGAAAAATAATAAAATGAAAAAAAAGAATATTTTCATGTGGTTATTGTTACTTGGATATTGTCCTCTTTTAAGTGTCTATTCAATTCTTGCTCCTCCTGTCCTTTTTAAAAAATTTGGCTGTCAACTGAGAAGGGAATGAGGGAAGTGCTGAGGCACTAGAAATGTCCTGTATTTCACATGGAGGTCTATGAGTCATCTCAAATTCATTTTTTATTTATGGTGTGATAAATCAAGGCATCAAAGTTAATTTTTTCACATGCATATCCAAATCAATCAGCATCATTTATAAAAAAGACCACTCCTTTCCCCACTGTATTTCATTTATTTTTTATTTTTTTATTTTTCCTCTAGAAGTCATAAGTCTCTATATCTGCAAGTTTCACTTCTCCAGGTTTGGTGTAAAAAATTGCCTTGGCCATTCCAAGTGCTTTGTTGAATGGAAGTGGTTATCATGAATGTCCTTGTCTTGTTCTCAATCTCAGGTACAATAGTTCACCATTAATTATGATGCTAGGTGTAGGGATTTTTGTAGCTACCCAGTGACTGCAGGGAAACTGAGTTATAAATCACTAATAGAAAGAGAATTGAAAAAAAACCCAAAATTCAGAAATTAGGCAATATGGTACTAAGCAGGGCTGGGACTAGGATGAGCCTAAGGTGCAAAAGTGCCTCTTTAATGTTCCCCAGGCTCCTTGCTTTTGTCATCCTAGTTCTGTTCCTGGTTCCAAATAATCCATAGCTCCTCCAAAAAAAACTGTAGTGGGAAAAGGAAGATGTTGAACTGAGTGATATTAAAACAACCACAAAAAATTTATGGGATGGAGCTAACAGTTCTTGAAAATTTATATTTCTAAATGTATATATTTGAAAAGAAGAAAGTTTGACAAACAGAATGATCTAAGTCAATGTTTCCCATAGAACTGTCTGCAATGATGGTAATGTTCTACATCTGCTCTGTCCAGTATGCTACCTGTGACTACTGAGCTGTTGAAATGTGGCTAGTGTGACTGAGATACTGAAATTTTAACTTTATTTATTTTTGATTAATTTAAAAGAAGGAGAAACAAATCTTCCTTACTAAAGAATTCAAGTAATTTGTGCAGATACTCTACCCTTAATGAAATCTTGTCCCCCTTCCTAAGCATAGGCAGAATTTAATTACTTGCTTCCAAAGAATGGGGTATGAAAGGGGAAAAAAAGTCGCTTTACAGTGGAGGAAGCCAGAGTAAGTCATACTGATAGCAGCATATATCCCTGATAATAAGTGATCAGAAGGACACGTCATGTCTGTAATATTCTTCTAAAAATGCATAACTGCAGTGTAACCCGTGAGAAAAAAACATCAAACCCAACTCGAGACACATCTGCAAAATATCTGACCCTTACTTATTAAAACTGTCAAATGTCATGAAAAACAAGGAAAGTTAAAGACCAGAATAGGCTAACGGTACATGATGAGTAAGTGCAGTTGGGTATCCTGGATGGGAATCTGGCAGAAAAAGGACATTAGTGGGAAACTAGTGAAATTTGAATAAAGCCTGGGGCTTAGTGATAACTTATTTATGTATTTAGAGACAGGGTCACTTTGTCTCCCAGGCTGGAATGTGGTGGTACGATCATAGCTCTCTGCAGCCTCGAACTTCTGGGCTCAAGCAATGCTCTTGCCTGTCTCTTGAGTAGTTAGGACTACAGGTGCATGCCACCATGCCCAGTTATTTTTTCTATTTTTTGTCTCTCTATGTTGCCCAGCCTGGTCTTGAACTCCTGGCCTCCCCAAATGCTGGGATTACAAGCATGAGCCACTTCACGTGGTCAATGGTAACTTACTGATAGATATTGGAATTACTGTGAGGCCAAAAGGAAGTCATTTCATGTACATACATTTTAGACATTGCAATTATCTTCTCTACACCTATGATATCTTAATTTTGATTATGTTATACTTCACTGAACAGAAATCTTCAAATGCAGGGATTAATAGTATTTTGACTGTGGGATTTGACCATATTGTAGCCCAATTAAAAACTAGTAAATGATGCCAATGCCTTGCAAGCAGACAAAAAAAAAAATTGCCAAATAGCTTTCAAAAATCTCAATGATTTGGAAAATACATAGCATATTACCATATAGCTCTTGCGTTAAAAAGAGAATCACTAGGGAAATTAAGACATACTTGGTATTGAAGAATAATGAACATATTACCAGGTGAAAATTGTGGGACAGTTAAATTGATATGTAAAGATAAATTTATAGCATTAAATGCAAGAGATATAAAAATTTACAAATGAGCTAAGCATTTATCTCAAAAAGGTGTAAAAAGGAGCAACACAGCAAACCTGTGGAGACAAGACAGAAGTAATAAAGATTGGAAAACATAAATGAAATAGAGAAGAAAATAACATTATAGGTTAATAAAGCCAAATGCTGTTTTTTCTCCCCCGTTTATTTTTTCCTCAGAAGATTACTAAAATAGACTTCTGGCAGAACTGGCCAGTTAAAAAAAATTAAAAGCTGCAAATAAACCAAGAGTGAACAAATTTTTTGTTTAAAGGGCCAGATAGTAATTAATCAACTTTGCTGTTGCGGAAGGGAAACAGATATACACAATACCTCAAGAATGGACATGCCCATGTTTTATTAAAACTTTATTTATGAACACTGAAATTTGAATTTCATATGATTTTCACGTGCTACAAAATTCTTTTTTTCAGCCGTTAAAAAAAAAAAATCTGTTTTTATCTCATTGCAAGACGTACAAAAACAGGTGACAGGCTGGATTAGACTGGCCCCAAACGGACTTCAGGAGGGTGAATGTAAGGCTCAGTGGTTTGGTCAAGTTCTGAAGCATGGGGCAGTGAGCTAGTGTTTTTATCGAAAAGGGCACACAGTTAAGGATTAGGACAGCTAGATTCCTAGTGGGCAAACTGTCCCCTGATCCTACCCCGGGATCTGAGCCCTGGCTGGCTCTGGAACCTTGACCAGGGGCTCAGGGGCATTCCTGCTGCCTGCCCCGCCTCCCTCAGCCTCACCCCTCCCCTCAGCCTCACCCCCCCCTCAGCCTCACCCCTCCCTCAGCTCACACCCCTCCCTCAGCTCACATCCCCTCCCTCAGCCTCACCTCACCCCCCTCCTCACCTCACCCTCTCTTCAGCCTCACCCCCCCACTCGCTCAGCCTTCTCTTCAGCCTCACCCTCACCCCCCTCAGCTTCACCCTCCCTCAGCCTCACACCCCCTCAGCCTCACACCTTCCTCAGCCTCACCCCCCTCAGTTCACACCCCTCCCTCAACCTCACATCCCCCTCAGCCTCACATCCCCTCCCTCAGCCTCACCCCCCTCCCCCAGCCTCACACCCCTCAGCTACACCCCTCCCTCAGCCTCACACCCCCTTCCACCTCACCCCCCTTCCTTCAGCCTCACCCCCACTCCCTCAGCCTCACCCCCCTCCTTCACCTCACCCCTCCTCAGCCTCACCCCCCTCCTTCACCTCACCCCTCCTCAGCCTCACCCCCACTCCCTCGGCCTCACCCCCCACGCCCCGGGGTCGTCACCAGGGGCGCGAGAGCACGCGCGCATGCGCCCAACTCGGAGCCGCGCTGACCTTGCGCCCGCACCTGACGGCCAATCACAGGTCGTCCTGAGCGCGCGAGCGGCGGCGTGGGCGTCCGCTGTGCCTGGGGCCTGGAGAGGCGTCATTGCCGCCGGCTTCGCCCCGGGAGCGCCTCCGGGCGGGTGCAGCTCCGGGACAGCCGCCGACCGGGCCTGGTGAGCACGGGCGTGTGGCGCGGCTCGCGGTCCCTGAGGGGAGACGGGAGGGATTGCAGGGAGGGCCGCAGCCCTGCGGGGTCCTGACCCTGCGTAGCCACGGCGGCCTTTCCAAGTGCCGCGACCTTCTGAAAGGGACTGCAGGCCGGCGGCCCCGGCGCGTCCCACTGCACGCTCCCGAACGCCTCCTTCCCTAATCTCAGCAGGCGCCACTCAGCCTGCTCGCCCCAGCCCCGGGGCTAGGCCCGGCCCAGGCCTCTTAGAGGAGGGACCTATCATGGCTCCTCTGCCCCCCGCCCCCGCCCCCTCGGTGGTCTCTCGCGGCCCTTTACGAATTTGAGAATCTTAAGCTCGTTTTGCAACCTCAGACCCAAACCCTTTCTGGAAATGCGTAGGCCTAGACCCCTTAAGACATTTAAATTTGTTGGGGTCTCTACCCTACTGCAGCATTTTCTTTTTGTTGTTTACTGCTTGTCTGCCAAGACTCAGATGCAGTGGCGCCTTGGACTCTAATGAAGTCCCCTTTGAGAGCCGGGACCTAGGGTGATTTGGAGGCTTTTGGTTAGGACATTTCTCAGTTGAGGAATTTACCGAGGTAGGGTAGATTGAAGATTTGGGGGAAAGGAGTTCAGTTTTCTTTTCTGGTTAAGAGATGCTTGGTAAATATCCAAATGGCAATGTCAGGTAGGCAATGGGATATAAAATATTCTTGGAACGTGTAAGTAATCCTAATCCTTGTCTCTGGTTATCTCAAAGATGTGACCTTCTCCCGCCTGAATACCTCAAGTTCTTAAAAGTTTCAGTGTACGCCTGAGGTAAGAGGAGAGAAGTCTCTGTAATAAAGACCAAGGTTGTATCTTTTTTCCTTGAATTTTGCTTTCTTGTCCACGTCTGTGCTAAAACATTGCTAGTTAGTGATCTTGAGGGAATCTGAATTTGTATGGCAAATTAAGGCCAATTGTTGGTTTAGATAATTCTGGAACCCTCTAAATTGCTTCCTTAAGAAAGGAGAAGATGGTGGTGGCATTCTTTGACTTGATCTCTTGAAAGGAAAAAGAACCAATGAGCACCATCAATGTTAGTAAAGCAGCCTTCTTTTATATCATGAGGCTAAAATGTGTCCATACACATACCCTAAGATTTCAGCTAACATATTAAAGTGGTTCATTCAGGGTAAATGTGTGTTTGTTAAAAACGTTCCAGGGGTTAGTTTGTTCCTATTTATACCCTTTTTCTTATGGGCTATATTTCATGAGGTGCATGCAGCTGGACAGAGGAGACTAAATCTCCATTCATTCCATGCAAGTAGGCGAGATAGGTAAATCCTGTGCCCAGCAATTTGTGAATACAACTCAGTATTAGTTATCTATAGCTGTGTACTAAATTATCTCAAAATTTAGTAGCTTAAAATAACACATTTTTGTTACCTCATAGTTTTTGAAGGTGTCGAATCCAAAAGTTTCTTAGCTGGTTGTGGCTCAGGGTGTCTTGTGAGGTTGCAGTCAGGCTTTGCCTGAATGCAGTCTCTGCAGACTGGATTAGGGTTGGATGATCTGTTTCTAAGCTTGCACACTTGAGTGTTGACAAGAGGCCTCAGTTCCTCACTCTGTGGGCCTCTCCATGAGGCTGCTTGTATCCTGGCAGCTGGCTTCCCCCAGAGTGAGTGATTCTGGAGAGCTTATACCCAACATGAAGTGCAGAGTCTTTACAGCCTAATTTCAGAAGTGACATCACTTCTGTTGTATGTGTTTGGTCCCACAGGCCAACCCTATTACACTGTGGGAGAGGGGCTACTCTACAGTGTGAATACCAGGAGGTGGGATTCCCCTTTGGCGTCCTCTTGAAGGCTGACTATCATACTCATTTATCCACCATTCCAACCCTTCCCCATTATGATCTCAGGCATTGTCCTGTTACTGTGGGTGAATAATTTGACTTCTTGGTAAGTCCAAAACCTCTTAATGTACACTTGTTTATTCAAGGATATTGTTCCAGTAAGACTCCTCTTTGGGATTAAGTTTTCTGTCTCTCTAGGTCATTAACATAGCAACATACTGATTGTCTTCTAAAATGTCTGTTGTTTGATGCTACGTCCCCCTTCTGCTTGTTTTATTTTGTATTTGCTTGTCATGATAGGAAAATTTCTCCAGAGTTGTCTATATTTGCTGTCTCTTATTCTTTTCCCAATCTCCCTTAAACCCATTCTTGTCAAGGTCACCAGTGAATTCCACGTTACTTAATCCATTCGTCAGTTTTAGTTAATGTCATTGATTTTATTCCTTTAGCAGCATTTATCAGTTCATTTTCTTCTTGCAAATAATTTTTCATGTGGATTCTGGATTCCTTTCTTGGCTCACCTATGTTAGCCACTTGATTAGTCCTTGTATGTATTAAGTGCTTCAGTCTCTGAGCCTTTGTATTCATTTGTTTTTGCCTTTGCTGGAATACTCTTTCTTACATGCTCATATCTATGTCATATACATATTAACCTGCCGCCATTTCTTATTTTATTTTTTCCCTAGCATTTATAAAACCATTTTTCTTTTGTATTTTCTGATTACCCCTACTGGAATGTCAGCTCCTTGAAGAGAAGGACTTTGTTTGAATTACTCCTGTATCCCCAGACCAGCACCTGGCACTTGGTGGATTTGCCAGACTTTTGCTGAATGAATGGTCTTTTCAAATTCCTCTCAAACACTACCTTGGCACTCCCCTCCCTCTTTTCTTTGTGGTTACAGGACTGTCAAAACTGTACAAACTCTTTATCATTTGTGTACGATTTCTCTGTTTCTTTTGGACAGGGATATGTTTTAGTTTTATGATTTAATACATTTTATAGCTATAGTTCACCAAAAATAGTGGACATCAAATATTATCAGACCTATATGTTTGGCAACACACAGAATCTCATATGTGATGCTCTTTCCGGGAGTAAAAATTTCTCCCTAATTTCTTTTCCTTCCTTCCTTTCCTTTCCTTAATTTTTTTTTTTTTTTTGAGACAGAGTCTAGCTCTGTTACCTGAGCTAGAGTGCCGTGGCATCAGCCTAGCCCACAGTGACCTCCAACTCCTGGGCTCAAGCTGTTCTCTTGCCTCAGCCTGCCAAGTAGTTGGGACTGCAGGCACGTGCCACCATGCCTGGCTAATATTTTTTTTTTCCTTCTATTTTTAGTAGAGATGGGGCCTTACCCTTGCTCAGGCTGATCTGGAACTCCTCCTGAGCTCAAGCAGTCCTCCCTCCTCAGCCTCCCAGAGGGGGGCTAGGATTGATTATAGGTGTGAGCCACTGAGCCCAGCCTCTCCCTAATTTCTTAACCCCCGCCCCCTCTGGAGTTCTAATGCAGCTGTATTGCCTTAAGGTTGATTTGATATGTCAAAAATTAGTGATTTTCAACTTTTGGCTTTTAACACTTAGTAAATGTGAGCACAAGCTATTTAAATCTTATCCTTTGTTAGCTCTTTATGCTTGTAAACTACATGTATACCTAGGTCCATTCCTCATGCTTTCCTTTAAATGTATATATTAATCAGTCGTTCGAATAATCCTGAATAATACGATTCTGAGAGGTTAGCTTAAGCATTAATATTGTATAAGTTTGAGAACAAAATATGAATGTTCTGAAGAAGTCTTACCAGGATTTTTCCCCTGTGGGTCTCACAGTAGCAGAGAGAGACAAGATACATAGGGATTCATGACGGGGCCCATCTGGCCTGTATGGAATGTGCTCTCACAACTTCACAACTTCCAGATTCCTTATAGCTAGGTTGGCTGTATATAATTTGTCATCTAAACCAGCATACTTATTAAGAGTGAAAAGTGGTGCTATTAATACATGTATAAGAACACAGGTTAAACTGGGACTGTCCTGGTCAAACCAGCATATTTGATAATCCTACTTAACTAATTTGGTTTGGTCTTCTAAGTCCGTAGTATTAGAGAATGTTCATGCGCAAATTATAACATTTCCATCTCTGGAAGAATATGACTCCTACTATAAATTTATAAATTGACCACCTGATACTAGCATATTTCTTTTTGCTGGTAGATTAGCTCATGTTGTTACCATTATCCTAATTACTTAACCTTTGGTGTTTTGGGGTTTTTTTGTATGTGTGTGAGGTGGGGAATGAGGAGGGAGGTTCAGTTTCTTTTTTTCTTTTTTGTTTTGAGACAGAGAACTCTGTCACCTTGGATAGAGTGCAGTGGCTTCATAGTAGCTCACTGCAGCTTCAAACTCCTGGGCTCAAGCCATTCTCCTGCCTCAGCCTTCCGAGTAGCTGGGACTATAGGCCCACACCGTGACGCCTGGCTAGTTTTTCTATTTTTAGTAGAGACAGGGTCTTACTCTTACTAAGGCTGGTCTCAAACTCCTGAGTTCAAGCCTTGGCCTCCCAGAATGCTAGGATTAAGATGTGAGCCACCATGCCCGGCCTTAACCCTTGTCATGAATAGAGTCTGCTTAGGGGCTTTGAAAATTTAGCATCAGTTGTTGGGATGTGGGGGTCACACCAGCCTGTAGAAGTCACACTTTGCAGAATGAAATTGAATGGTTTGTAGAATATTTAAAAAATGTACAACCATCAACAATACCTAATTCCAGAACATTTTACCAACCTTAAAGAAACTCTGTGTCCATTAACAGTCACTCCCTATATTACTTTGCTGTGGCTTAAAACAGCATTTATTATTCTCCCTTAGTTCTGGAGGCCAGAAGTCCAAAATCAATTTCATTGGACCTAAATCAAAATAGTGGCAGGGATGTGTTTCCCCAGGAGACTCCATTCCTAGCAGAGAATCCATTCCTTGCTGCTTCCAGTTTGTAGATGTGACATTCCTTGGCTTGTACCCATCACTCCAGTTTCTGCCTTAGTATCACCTTCTCCTGCAATATGTGTGAAATCTCCCTCTGTCTCTCATAAGGACACTTATGATGGCATTTAAGGCCCCTTTATAATTCAAGAAAATTTTCTTAAGAGTTTTTTCAAAATTCTTAATCACA